ATTAAAACGTAAATATTAGTAGTGAAATTTTTCAGTTGTACTATAAAATAAAATGGTTATTTTTCTTAAATAATTAATTTCTGCCATACTATACTTTTAATTAAGATTAAGCTTAAAGTAGGTTAAAGTCAATTGTTTTTTTGATCTCAAATATTTTGGTGGGTCGTGAAATAGGTTATACTTGTCTAGGTGGGTCGTGGAATGGAAAAGTTTGGGAACCCCTGTGTTAAAGGATCTGTCCTTGTCCAGTCAGAGACATTAAGGCATGCTCTCACCTGTTCTCTCTCTCATACATCTCTTTAGATGCTCTCTGCAGGCTCTCGATTTCATGACTGGTCTTCATTCGAATGCGCTCCAGTTCATCACGCAGTTTGTTTTCATACTCTGTCTTATAGTGATCTCTGGTGGAGGGATGCAAACAGCACAACTGTCAAACTGTAATGACTTCACAAAAAAGATTTGAGAGTCTTAATGGACCTTGAACCTCTGTTCCGAATCCAAATATAATGCCACAGTACTAGAGTCACCAGATTTGGCCCATTTCTTCATATCATGCAAACTTCTTAATAGAGATCAGTGCTGTATTCTTCATAAAACTGAACTCTGAATGAATTCTCACAACTGAATAAAAATTAGGTTGAGAGCAGGGAATGTAAAAAGGAAGCAGCATCCTTATTATTTACCACACATACCTAGAAGCAACATATTTTTCAAAGGCATCTTCCCTGGCCTTTTTTGTGTCTTCAAGCTGGGTCTGCAGTCTGTCCAGACGGTCTTCTTGATGAGCACAGCGCACATTAAGCTCCATGTTCTGCCTGTTTAAATATTCTTTGTCCTTCTGCATCAATGTTACAGACTGCTGCAGAGTGGCCACCTGCGGATAAAAGGAAAAAAACAGTAAGAAAGGGTTAAAGTAAGTAACGGGAGACAATTTGTGACAGACCGATTTATGTTGACATTTGGCTACCAACTGCCCCCATGGATAGTGTGCCAGATATAAAATGTACTGTCATCCTTGTCAATGGATAATACACTTCAAATATATTTTTTTCAAATATATAGAGGAATTGTACCTTGCTCTCTAAACACATAATTTAAAAAGAAAATAAACTGAAACATTGTTTATCATCAACTGTCAATCTCAGATATTGATAATTTAAACATGGCCCAATAAGTCAACTAAATAATTGGCCTAACGGATATGCTGATCTGTCAGTAATCTTAAGAACACATTACCTCCTTATTTAGGTCATTCCTCTCTTTTGTCAGGGCAGTGTGTGTGAGGTCCAGCATTTCCAACTTCTTCCTCAACTCTCTCAACTCCGTTTCATACCCATCTCTCTCTCTGTGGACTCAATAATACAGGTTATATTTGTATATATATATATATATATATATATATATGCACACACAACCACAGCATTAAAGGACTGAACTAATGGATTTTTTTTTAATGTTTTTGAAAGAAGTCTCTTAAGACTGCATTTATTTGATCAAACACAGTAAAATCAGTACCGCTGTTAAATATTATTACAATTTAACCCTTAAAGACCTAGAACACTTTTGGGGCACCTGACACGCCTGCACTTTTCTTTGTTTTTAAAGGGGTCATAAGATGCGATTTCAAATTTTCCTTTCTCTTTGGAGTGTTACAAGCTCTTGGTGCATAAAGAAGATCTGTAAAGTTGCAAAGACTAAAGTCTCAAATCCAAAGAGATATTCTTTATAAAAGTTGAACTTGAAGTTTCAGTCTAGCTAATTTAAAGTCCCAATTTTCCTTTTGTTTTCTCTAAGAATGAATGAATTTCCAGAATTTTAAGAAAAACGCAAGCAACAATTGGGTGTTTTTTTTACTGTGTACTCAAACAGAAACTCCTGAAGTTTGGATTTTTTTTCTTTAGAAAGTTATATCTGG